TCTTGGATTCGAACATGGAACGTCCACGACAGGGCAGACACACCGTCCCAGTGGATGCTCTGCTGTGGTTTGTTCCATCTTTTCTATCAAACATCAAACGTTCCTGTCTCCTCCTTTATTTGTTTATGTTAATACCTCTAATGGCCATTCCCAAAGGGGGGATATTAACATGGTCTTATGCACAGTAGAATTGTAAATGGGCTGATTTATTATTGTCATGCTCATACAGTGCCGGAACAACATGGGGGAACTTCTGCTTTTACTTTCCTGATCCTTACTATCGTCATTTTTCCTCTACTTACCTCGCATGTTAGTTACTCTCTTGTAAAGTGCTATTTCCGGGGTGCCTTGATAGTCGAAGCAGACTTTGTGTTGTTGAGGCTAGAGAGGTGAGCAGAGTAAGCCTTGTTTTTTTTGTTTTTGTAAAGTGTTTTACGGCGCTCGCAACTGCATAAGGTCATATGAGTGCGCGGGACGCACCTAATATTTTCAGTTGGTAGGAAATTTTGAATTTTGCCCTGGTGGCGGCCGAAGAGAGTAAGCCTGATCCCCCGTTTGGACTTGACATCCACCCCTTGGCGCTAATTGACCTTATGCAGTTGCAAGCGCCGTAAAACCTTACTAATGCAAACAGCAACTCTAATCTTTGGCCTCGTCACTTATGTGACCTATTTATGTTGCATGTGCCATTAAACTCTTACTATAATTGAAACTAAACGTCTGTTTTCCGCAGTTCTCCTTTTTTCCTTGTTATATTACTCACCAGTACAACCTCTAATCTCGGGCACTTATACAACCTATTCGTGTTGCAAGTTCCGTATAACTCTTACTAAACTTTTAAAACACCGGACTGTGTCATATGGGTGATTGGCGGGTGCTCTGTTGTGGTTCGCTTCTTCTTTCCTATGAAACATATGTCGTCCTTATCTCCCCTTTTTATGATTTTTACTCTCTTGTGACATCTCTAATCTTCTGGCGTTCATAATATGACCTTATGCAGTTGCGAGAGCCGTAAAACCTATACTAAAACTAAACTATCTCTCCTCCTCTTTTTTGTGTTGGTTACTGTCTTGTACCACCTCTTATCTTCGGTACTTATATGACCTAATTATGTTGCAAGTGCCGTAAAACCTCTCACCAAAACAAAGCCTGTGTCATGACGACGGGCGCGGGCCGCCATG